AGTCGGGCATTGTTTCTGATAGCAACGTTTCTGATAGGCCCGTGTGTGTAAAGCCAGCCCACATTTCAGATATTACGTCATATCGGACGCAAATCTGGATCAGCTCCGTTGTTCCCCCGTTTTTAGAGATTTGGGAACGGAGGAGAAGAGAGAGGGTTTTATTTTCTGACGCTGCGTGAGTTCCCCGACACACCAGGGACACATGTTTATGTATAAAAGACATCACAAAGTGCATTTTGCATGATAGGAGAGCTTTCATATCGACTTGTGAAGAGCGTCTGATTGTAAATACCTTGAGGAAGCGGTGCAGCAGGAAGGTGAACCAGTTGGTCAGCATCTTCTCAGCCACTGACTCCGTCCTGAAAGAGGTCAGAGGTCAATCTGCAGTCCTGCTTGTTTTATTTTGAAAGGTACTACAGTCTTTGTTGTTTTATTTTGAAAGGTACCTCCTGAGCAGCAGTTTGGGATGGTTCTTGTTCTCCAGGTTCTTCTCGATCAGGTCGGCCAGCAGCTGCTTCAAAACCATCGTCGCATACTCCATACGACCCTGAAATAATAAAGAAACAGTTATTAAATTATAACACCTGAAAGATATCTCAAATAATCCTTTATCAAGTTATTAACTAATGTCATTAACCAGTTATTAACAGATAATAATGCAAGAAAATATTGTATTTAATCTTTTATCAAGTTTTTTTCTGATATTTACATGTGCAAAACATTAATTACACTTTTTTAAATAAAGTTTTAAGGCAAGGCAAGGCAAGGCAAGGCAAGTTTATTTATATAGCACCTTTCAACACAAGGTAATTCAAAGTGCTTTACAAAAATGGAAGACATTTTTTAACGGTTATTTAGACATTAAAACATATTTTAACCAGATAACTGATATTAAAAAACATCTAATAATCAATTATTACCGGAAAATAGGCACTGCATATCAGCTAAAAACATCTATTAACCAGGTATTAATTAATATGTTCGCATACAATACTTATAAAGAAATTATAATAAACACACAATATCTTATTTCTAGGTACCTGCAGCGCGGCCATGAGCAGCGAGGCGACGTTCCCGCGGTCCCTCATGGAGAACGACCTCTGATCCTCCAGAGTGTGGATGAAGGTCAGCAGGAACATCTTGTTGTTCAGCAGCTGACTGAAGAGACGCAGCGCCTTCTCCACGTTAGCAGGGGACTGAACACACACACACACACACACACACACACACACACACACACACACACACACACACACACACACACACACACACACACACACACACACACACACACACACACACACACACACACACACACACACACACACACACACACACACACACACACACACACACACACACACACACACACACACACACACACACACACACTTAGTATAAAACACTGAAACCTAATCATTCTCAAAGATATTGAAGTGACTGTTATGTTGTATTTATTGATTGTTGTGTTTTTATCTTAATGTGTGCATATGTACATGTGTCTGTTGATTGTGTATATATAGGTATATACATATTGCATACATATTTTTATATATATTTGTATTTGTGTATTCGGGGTTGTGGGAAACGGTATTTAGATCTCTCTGTCTGTACACACAAACTGAAAGATTGACGTTGACTTGACTTTGATACTCTGAAACCAAAATAATCTTAAGTGTATTATTTTGAAACAAACAAATAAGTGCTTCCTCATAGTTTTTGTGTAAATATATAGATGGGAATCTAAGATATATTCAAAAATAGTGACTGAAGGGTTCCCACAGTTTAAAACAAGTTTGATTTTGCACTTTTTAAGACCTTTTAATGCAACTCGAAATTACATTTAAGACCCATATTATGTGCAAAATGGGTCAATGAGGGGCTATTAGTAAATAATAATACAAATGAAATAGATATTATCAATATCGGCGGTTGTGGCTCAGTAGATAGTGTGCTGGACTTTGAATCAGGGGATAGCAAGTTCGAGTCCCACTGCAGTCAGCATGCCGTTGTGTCCCTGAGACACTTCACCCCAAATTGCTCCTGTGGGGATTGTCCACAGTATTGAATGTATGTTAGTCGCTTTGGATAAAAGCGTCTAACAAATGACATGTAATGTAATGTAATCAATCATTTTGAGATCTAACAATGCAAGGAGAAAAAGGTTTTAAAAAATCCTAATTTCCATGACAAAAAAAACGTTTTGATGACAATTAAGTGATGTGTTTTATATTATTGTATTGAATGCTTTTTATGCTGGAATCCTAGAATTGTTTAACAAAACATATATATACAAATATAATAATACAATTCTAAAGAATAAAGGATTACCTCATGGTTTAGCATTTTTAATAAGTATAATTATTTATTCCTAATGCACTAAGGGTTATAAAAACGTATAGGAACCACATTTTACAGTTCACTGTTGTTTGTCTATCTATATATACATTTAATATACCCACATACTAATTAAAAAGAAACCTTGAATATATCAAAACCGGGACAAGAATTTAAAATATCCATCCTTTTGAAAAACTCCTTTTGATTCACGCTGGTTTGAGAAGACTCGGTCCGCTGAGAGCAGAGACAAAGACAAAGAAACTGTTTCTGGGGAAATGATGGAAGATGACGATGAGGAGGAGGAAGGTCTGAGGAAACGTGAAGCTGCAGAGAAGCTCAGAGGCTCAATGCTTCCTGCTGGGTCCATTCATTAAAGCTAAGACTCTGCACAGTGGAGACATTTCTAAAAGCAGATTTGTCTGCAATATTCCTCTGTATTTGTTCTGGGGATAAAAGCAGTGACGTTCTATTTTGAGGTTCTATATTTTAGAGGCCTATAGACAGAGTTGGGTGTAACGCGTTACTGTAATAATATTACTTTTGTCGGTAACGGAGTAGTGTAACGCGTTACTTTTATAATTCAGTAATCACACTACAGTTACTAACATTGCCCCGACACGCGTTACTTTGTTACTTTTATAAAATCAGTCATAATCACACTGACAGACAAGAGGGGTTTCCGCCGCAGGTTTATATGTACGTAATCTGCGCGACTTGCGCGTCCACATCTCCACGTGCAGTGCTGCATAAACATGGCAGAGTCAGCGATAACTTTCGAGGGGTGGAGGTATGCCCATTATTTTGAGTTCGTCCGAAGAATAGACAGGAATGTGACGGTGAGGTGCAAACTGTGTCCAGGCCAGAAGCTGTTATCCACTGCTGTAAACACCACGTCAAACCTCAACAAACACCTGCAAAGAACACATGCTAAGGTGAAGCTAATAGCTAAGGACCCCCGAACCCAGCGTGAGGATGTTGTGAGTGCGTCGCCACCGCCGACTCCGAAGCGGCACAAATTAGAATTTGGAGGACCGGTAACCAAAGCAGAGATGGACAGGCTTGTAGCATCCTTCATAGTAGAGGTAATGTTGCCCATTTGCACAGTGGAATCACCATCGCATCGTTCAGAGATATACTGCGCAAAATACAGATAGCAGGAGACAGAGGACAGCCATGGTCAGAGCTATCTGGATCAGTCTTATGCGACAATGGAAACTGAACTAAAGAGAACATTTCAAACTTTAGCAGTCTGCGTGATCTGCCTGTAGGGAGGGGCGGGCCGGCCCTGCGAGTAAAGTAACGAGTAAAGTAACGAGTAAAGTAACGAGTTACTTTATGTAGAGAGTAACGAAGTAGTGTAATATATTACTTTTTTTTAGTAATGACCCCATCTCTGCCTATAGAGTGGTGCAGTGACGAGTCCTAAAACCTGGAAGTGAGTTAGCATTTTACCACTTCCTGTTCCCTCGTCTCAGAGCCAATGGGATCTCTCCATAGGATGTTGGAAAATATCTGGAAATAAGGTCTGTGGTTGAGACACATTGAAGAGACGGATCACGTTTTGTTCTACGACATTAAATCCATCAGCAGAGACCCACACTGGTGATTTCTGAAGAGTTGACGTGTCTGAAAAACGATGGTTGTTAACAAGTGGCTGAATAGGACTACAGAAGTTGTCGAGGACGTTGTACGTCATTACGCGGAACACGTAAACACTCCTCTAAGTTAGTTTGCCCTGTTCTGCTTGAAAGCAAGTGCCTGCCTCCTGCAAACTGTTCAAACAAACACTTCAACTCGTACCATTTAGAATCTGTCTGTTTGAATATGGATCTGAAGTTGGTGTGACGTTGAAGTCGTGCTGCTGTACTCGGCTGTAGTTCCTTTATAGCATAACGTTAGCATTTTGCTTCTGGCGATGTGGAGATTATCCGGCTGAACAAAACGTGCATTTATCAAACAGGTTCGTTTCCACAGATCTTATTTCGAGCTATTTTCCAAAATCCTATGGAGAAATCCCATTGCTTTTTTGTCGAGGGAACCAGCAGCTTACTTCGGGGTGAATACGTCCTCCCTGCACCGCTCTATACTGTCCTTTTTACTGCAATTTATTCTTATTGTCCTCTTATTTATCCTCACTTCCTTTTCTCCATAACTCTAAAATCGACTTCTCCTTGAATTCTTTCATCTAGATTGCATAATCCTCGTGTGGCTCAAAATTGGCTCTTTATATGCAAAAAAAACGGTGAAATTCACATGATCACATAAGGGTTGTCTGCTCTGCTTCTTTTGATTGGCTACATAATGCCCTTTGCATCCTGAAAAGTACATTTAAAAAGCTTCCCATCTGTCATTTGTGAAAGAAAAGGAATATGGGGTGTATTATATAAACTTTAAAGGCACGTCTTTGCTTTTAAAAATCATTAAAGAATGAAGAAGATAATGGCTTTCAAATGGTGCGTAATACCTTGATCATTCATCAGCTGCAATTCACTTCATTGTGTGTGTGTGTGTGTCTGTGTGTGTGTGTGTGTGTGTGTGTGTGTGTGTGTGTGTGTGTGTGTGTGTGTGTGTGTGTGTGTGTGTGTGTGTGTGTGTGTGTGTGTGTGTGTGTGTGTGTGTGTGTGTGTGTGTGTGTGTGTGTGTGTGTGTGTGTATGTGTATGTGTGTGTGTTTACATCGAGCTCCTTGAGGACGGGGTGCTCCTCGATGCCGGGGAACATCACTCTCATGGTGTAGTTCCTGTACTCCAGGAAGGGGATCTTCACTCCGTCCATGTCGTTGGTCAGCTCCTGGATGTCCGTCTGCAGCTCTGCAAACGCTGGAAACAACAAGAATAAAGTACAGTTAACTGTGTAAGAGGATGTAAAACACAGTAAAGTACTGATACCATATTTATTATTACTTCCACTACTTCCCACCTCTGCTTGACGCTCTCAGGGTCTTCAGATATTAGAGCAACACGGTATAAATAACCTCATTTATAACGTACCCTCCTTGCACTCCAGCGCCACGCGGCTCTCCAGGTTGTCCATCTGCAGCTGGAGGCGTTTGAGCGTGCGGTCGGCGTCTCTGGTCTTCCTCTTGTAGGCGATGAGCACGGCGATGATGGCGATGAGCAGCACGCCACCCCCCGCCCCGATGCCGATGATGGCCGGCAGCGTGAGGGCGCTGTCAGAGTAGATATGGAGCGTACCGGGGAAATACTCCAGACCCCCCACCAGGATCTGCAGGAACACAGAGAGACAAGTTGTTTACATACTTTAAAGGTCCCCTATCATACTGTTTTTCAACAATATATTATAGGTCTCAGATATGTAGAAAACATGTCTCTGAAGTGTTTGTCTAAAACACCAAACAGATCATTGCAGCATTACCCATAATCCCCTCTGTTTCAGCCCTGTTTCCAAAGTGCTGATTCACTGTCTGTTACTTTAGATGAAAATAAGGAGCCCCTCCCCACGCCCCTCTGAGAGATATTTGGTTAAAAAGAACTCCATATTAGCCGCGTTCACACCGGAGTACTTTTCACCGTACTTTTCGCGTTTAGTTCCGTTAGTACCCCTTATGTCGCGTTCACACCAAAAAGAGCACTTAATCTCGGGAACTTTTACCCCCATTTTTAGTGCCCGCTGAGAGATCGTACTTTCCTGGGGGAAAAAAGTGCCCCAGTTCTGGTTGGCTGGGCGAATTGCAAACCACGCCCCGTACAACTCTGAAATGTTTTGTAGAGCCGCCATTGTATTATCCTCGCATTAGCATTATTAGCATTAGCCCAGCGCACAAACGCAGAGAGACTAACTTATGGCAACACAAAACAAAACATGGGAGCGGTGGAGTGATGAGGAGGTGTCGGCGTTCTGGCGATTTACTCGGAAGGCTTCAGTAGAAGCCAGTCCCCAACTCCGGGGACTTCCGGCCGGGGACTCCGGGTGGCAGTATAGAGTGGCGAAGTCCCTCCCCTTCCGGTGGACCTCCATGGGACCTTATTTCGGAAAAATTATGTATTGAAGTCAATGGAGAGAGAAAGATTATCTTTCGATCCCGTTTGAATTGTGCCACGAATTACACATATGATGTTTGTCAATTTAAAAGATAATTTTGCAAGTCAAAAAAAACAAAATGTGTCGTAAAACTGTGAAGTAACACATTTGTTTGTGTGAAACGCTCAATGAACTACATCTCTGGTCAACAACACACGTCACCAAGATGGCCGTCACTACTGTCTTGTCAACAAAACGATTGACTATCCTCACTATCACCACAATGAAACACGTCCTGAAGAATGTCATGCAAAGCTGCCTGCCTGCCTTCCTTTGATTCTCTCTGAACTGCCTGGTCGTTTTAATGTTTAATGTCAACCATTTGTGCAGATAGCATGAAGTAGATTAGATCGCTAGCGTTAGCGTTAGCATTTCTCCCCCGGGCTTAAATGGTGTATTATAGAATGATCACACCGGTGACAGTACTCTTCAAAGGGTTCACGAAATATGACTACTACTCTTACTGTTTAACATTTTGGGTTACTTAATGTTACTTCATGTTAAGGCTAATACAAATGACAAGGCTGTAATGCTAACTAACGTGCTAGCTACTAGCTAGCTTGATCCACACACTCCTGGTCCTTTCATCAGGCGGGAAGCGAAAGAACGAGCAAGACCCATTGCTGGTATAATAACAACCTGGTACTAAGCACACAGGCATCTTGTTAAAGTTATCTTATCTTAGCCAGCTTAATGATCTGATCTTAGTGTCTCAATTGTGACATCACTTACGCGACTCTGGGATTTGTAGTCTTTCTAGTTGCGTATTTTTCATAGTCTTATATTTCAACAGTTTTACGACAAACTGTGACTTTTTTGACATGGAAATTATTTTTTAAGATTGACAAACATCATATGTGTAATTCATGGCACAATTCAAACGGGATCGAAAGATACGTTTTCTCTCTCCATTGACTTCAATACATTATTTTTCCGAAATAAGGTCCCATGGGGCGGAAGTAGATGGGCGTGACTTCGCCACTCTATGCGCCGTGAAGTTGTTTGCTGCCTGCCAGTAAACCCAAAGCAGAAGAAGACGAAGTGACGTCAGCGGCTCATTTGCGTAATCTTCCCTCAGGGAAAAATACTCCGGTGTGAACGCGATCTGTACTAAATGCCC